CACACAGACACACTCCCACACAGACACACTCCCACACACAGACACACACACCTGCACACACCTGCTGTTTCCATTCATCCTCAAATGTGGTCCCTGAGATTGATAGTTCCTGGGCCCTCGGATATCCGAGTCTCGTGGGAGGGCCTGCTGCTCCCGTATCACCCATCCCACCTCCTCTTGAAATGGCCACCTAGCCCAGCCCTGGGTGTGGGGACAGAGGGAGGAACGAGAGGGGAAGCTTTGGTCTTACCTAGCCCCACCCCCACAGCCTCCATGGAGGGTAGCCCACAGGTCTCCATGGTGGGGCTGCTTCGACACATCTTAACCCAGGAGGGTGTCTGGGGCCTCTACCGGGGCATTGCCCCCAACTTCATGAAGGTCATTCCAGCCGTGAGCATCTCCTACGTGGTCTACGAGAACATGAAGCAGGCTCTGGGGGTCACATCCAGGTGAGGGGCCAGGAACCTGCCACCCCGAGATTCCTTCATCTTCACCACGGCATCTCCCAGGCTGACGTCCTCGACCACCGGAGACTAATGGCCTGACCGGTGGATCCTAATCCCCCATCCCAAGCCGCTGGATCCCAGTACCCAAATCCCAGATCCTTGGCCCTGTGTCCTGACCATGACACCACTGGACCCCACTCTTTGGCCACTGGATCCCAGTGCTGGATCCTCAACTTCACAGCCAGACCCCAACTGCTGTGCCTCACACATCAGCAGTCTGACGCTTGAAATGCAGAACCATCCACGCCCTGGCTCTGAACCCTTATCCCGGAGCCCCGAGCCGAATCTTGCTTTTCCCTGCACCACCCACTGGGCACTGGGCCTCCCTATGCAGCAGCAGATGGCCCAGTGCCCCAAGCATGGGGGCACACATCCATGTACCCCATAGCCAGACCTCAGATCCTTCCAGCACCAGACGCTCTTGCCGCACAGGACTGAGATCCCCAAACCTGCTGATGAATACCCTGTCACCTGCCTCATAGTCCGCCCACTGGAGTCTAGAAGCCAAGAACTCCCAGCCACAGGGTCCTGACAGCAATGCCAAGATCCTGGGGCTCTGCCCCTGGGCCACTGGATCCCAGATCCCTCACCCCAAACAGTCATGTACCTCGGCTTGGGGTTCCGTCCACACTCTTCCACCTTGACTGCTGGGTCTACACTTCAAGCACCACCCTCAATCTCATCACTGGATCCCAGAGTCCCAACCCACTAGATTCTGGTTCCCGGAAGCACAGGTGTGAGCTCCAGGGTGGATCCCAGATGCCACAGCTGTGAAATTCCAGACCCCAGGTTCCTTCCACCCCTTCTCTGGGCACCATCTGTAGAAAGCGGAGCTCTCCCAGACACTGCTGGGTCCCAAGCCCTGTGCTCCTGCACCTCCAGTGCTCAGACTGCTCCCCAAATCTAGATCCCCACCACCCGGTGGCAGCATCTCAGATCCCACAAGGCACCCCAATATCCCAGACACCCCCTGGAGCTGATTCCCACTGCATGGAACCACACCATCCAGGGATCCTTCTGGAAGCCCAGACCCCAGACCAGTGGCTCCCCACCAAGCAGTAAGGGATGGGATGTATGTCCCACCCCACACCCCATAGGAATGCTGGATCTCCCCTCAGCTACGACACACCTCCCCTCCCCTCCCCTCCCAAATCACCCCCCTTTCCCGTCTTCCCACTCTAAAATGTCTTCCACACCCCTGCCCACCTTCCAGGCTAGTAACTCCCAGAGCCCAGGTCCCTCTGGGAGGGCCTGGTCTGCTTGTTCATGCATCGGGAGCTGCCAGGTGAAGTCGGGGGACACAGCCAAGGGGACCTTCTGCATCCCAGCACTGCCAGCCCTGCTCGGGCCTCAGAAAGTCACAATTAAGGACCAATATACAGCATCCTTCCTGAAACCCAGCATTCAGTATGCAAAATTAAACATCCCCAGACTGACTCGGGGGTCTATTTTTCTACAAAGTCCCCTGGCTCCCCACCACATTCCCATACCCTCCGCACTTCAACAGTGGGTTCTGAGCTTAGGATAACTGGGGATACCCTGATGAACTCCCCAGCCTTTGGGGACCCCATCAAAGGACCGTGAAGGGGGAACTGGGGTGTTGGGTGGCAGGAGGACCCCACCATGGCTTCCACCTCTCCCTCCAAACTACACCAAGCCCCACCTCCCTGCCCATGCCTGTCATTTCAAGGGGAAAGAAAATAAATTTTCTAAGCACTTTCATTGTTGCTTTTTAATTTTCCAAATTAAATGTGTTTGTTCGAGGGAGGGGCATGTGGAAGTCAGAGGAGACTTGTGGGGGTCTACCCTCTCCTTCCACCACGTGGGGCCCGGGGATCAAACTCGGCGGTCAGGTTCGGTAGAAAGCACCTTTGCTGACTCCAGTGTAGATCTGTGACTTTTAAAAAAACTATGGAAATGGGTGTGCGGACGACGTTGACGAACTCACAAGGAGGGAGATGAGACATGGGTCTCTCCATCCCTCTCTCTCCCCTACCTTCACCCTCTCTTCCCTCTTACCTTACCCACCTTCCTCCCTCTCTCCTCCCCCCTCCTCCCTAGCTTCCCCTCTATCCCCTCCCCCTCCTTTCCTTCCTTCCCTGGTGTGTTTTTTTTTTTTTTTCTTTTCTTTTTTTGGTTTTTCCAGACAGGGTTTCTCTGTAGTTTTGGTGCCTGTCCTGAAACTCACTTTGTAGACCAGGCTGGCCTCGAACTCACTGAGATCTGCCTGTCTCTGCCTCTTGAGTGCTGGGATTAAGGCGTGCACCACCGCTCAGCTCTTTTTTTTTTTTTTTTTTTTTAAACATTGTTGCTGCCTTTTAAGCCATGGTATTCTGAATCAGCAACTACAACTCCATCACTACCAGCCTCAGCCTGAGGGAATTTCCCTCAGGCACCGATTCTTTCAAAGCTATGAAGGGAACTTAACTAAATCACTGTCCCTCTAAAGAACTCAAGATTGAAAGGTTAAGGTGGAATTCTGCTCCTCAGAGAGGTTGAATAGCAAGTAGCTCACCTCCTCTCCTTGCTCGCATCCTCCCAAAAGCCCTCATGCTTCTCCTCGCCCCTCCTTATAAACCCCCTTTCATCTGGCTCCTCCCTACCACTTCCTGTCGGCTAGTTGCTGACTCAGCCACCTGACCGCGGTGAATTTTATTTAATCTTTGCATCATTAAACAAATGTTCCAGAGCATAAACAAAAATAGCTCACCTTAAAATAATATCCTACAACACTTCCCCGCTTCCTCTGACCCTCCATCGCCCCCTCTGCCCCCTCTCCTCCTCTTTCCTCTTCTCCAAGAGATTGGAACCTCAGTTTCCACTCCATTTATAAACAGCCAGGGGCTGCAGAGGTGGTTCATCCACTGTTAAGAGCCCACACTGCTCCTGCAGAGGACCTGAGTTGCAGTTTCAACACCCACATGGTGACTCCCAGTCGCCTGTCATTCCAGCTCCAGGATCTGAAGCCCCCTTCTGGCCTCCGAGGACACTGCACTCACACGCACGCACACTCAATGGGGCCCTTGCCACGCAAGCCTTTCCACCTGAATGCAATCCCTGGGACTCCCGTGCAAGTGGAAGGAGGGAGTGGAGTCCACAGAGCTGCCATTTGACCTCTGCACACGCACCAGAATACACACACACACACACACACACACACACACACACACACACACGCACACACGCACACACGCACACACGCACACGCACACACACCAAAACAATACATTTTAAAGATTTGATTTGTGTCGTGTGTATCTGAAGTGTGTGAGAGAGAGACAGAGTCCTCTGATCTGGAGCTGGAGGTACAGTGGTGCTGGGAACTGAACCCAGATCCTCTTCAAGAGCAGTGTGCATTCTTAGCCACTGAACCATCTCTCAGCTCCATTTAAAACACACACACACACACACACACACACACACACACACACACACACACGCACAAAAGGGGCTTTAAATCTGGGTGAAGTGGTGCAAACTTGTCATCTTAGCACTTGGACTGGTGAAGACAAGAAGATCAGGAGTTCAGAGTCATTGCAAGCAAATTTGGAGCTAGCCTGGGCTACATGAGATCCTGTCTCACTGATCCCCACCTAACCCTCCAAAAAAGAATTTTAAAAACTTTTTAATATTCTGGGCAGTGGTGGTGCACATCCTTAATCTCAGCATTTGGGAGGCGGAGGCAGGCAGATCTCTGAGTTCATGGCCAGCCTGGTCTACAAAGCAAGTT